TTTCTTAGGACCAGCCACAAGATTGACTCATGGATGATGAAACGCACCAAAAAAAAAAAAATCCGATTAAGGAAGATTTAGAAATCGAACCTGGAATCTTTCTCATCCGAAACCAGGATCTGAATATGCGGAATCCCAAGACATAACTTGAACGGTCTGAAAATTTCACTGCTTAAAGCCTCCGTATTGATATTGTTGGCTACTGAGACTAGAGAAGAAATCATCCGAGATATCGGGGGCTTGTTGCGGAGGTGCGTATGATCCCGGTCTACCGAGGCCTGAGCCCGCACCCATCGACCAACCCGTGGTGTAGTATGCGGCCGCAGCTGCCTTCTGCTGTTCACCCGACACATTGCTCAGATCACCCACCACCCCCACGTCCGCTAGTGACACTTTCTTGGCTGACAAGTGACGTTTCCGTACAAATATTGTTAGGGCAAGGAAAAGATTCGGGAAGCAAAACCCATTATTCTTTCAGTAAACAAGTAATCTATCTATGACATGATGCCAAAAATAAGTGCCGTTTGATTTCTATACACAAAATATACGGGATGAAGACAGCTTTGTATCAACAAAAGGGGAAAAAGTTATATACTTACGGGCGGTTATGTTAAGGTCGATCAGACCCCGGCTCAGAGAGTCTGCCCAAATTCCTGATTTCACCTGGAAACCATCCTTCTTTTGGGGATTTTGTTGCTTTGAGTCTGCCAAAGACGGTGGGCCAGTGGACTTCTGTGTATCTGTAGAGGCTGCAGCTAAAGGAGAAGTGAATGCACCAAAAGGATCAGATCCATCAAAGCTGTTAAGAGGAACCGCTGCAAATGGGTCAACAATGCCAGGGGTGATTGCTGGTTCAGGTTTAAGAATTTTGGCTTCTGGTTGTGCAAATGGCTCGGGAGATGCAAAAAGATCGATCGTTGGAGGAGCTGAAGAAACTTTGACAGATGGTTCAGATGCAGCGAAAAGATCATCTTCTTTCTGTAAAGACACAGTGATACAAAGAGAATCGAAACTTTTTTCCAAGCAACTCAAAAAAAGGAATCACGAGAAAGAGCACTAGATCAAGGGTTCTAGGTGTAAGAAGAACCAGACCTGTACGGGTGATCCAGATCGAGTCTCCTGAGGAGACGAAAATGCTGATACAAAAGTTGCATCAGAAAATAAATCAACCTCTTGAGATCTCTCATCGTTGCTAATTGAAGATGTCTCGGTTTGACCAGGTATAGGTGCATCCAATAGGTCACCAATCAGATTTGCTCCAAAAAGGTCCACCTGGCTGGCACTGTTTGTTGTTGGCTCTGCCAAAGAGTAAAACCCAAGATATTAGATTCGGGTAAGATCTAAGATTTGGTCGAAAACCTTAAAAATGCAATCCAATGAGTAACAATATGCATGCACAAAGTCATCGAGGGAAACATACTATTGGTAGAAGTTCCACGAGGATCGAAATCATCAAAATCATCATCATTGTTCGAAGGAGATCCACTGTACTTTCCAGATTCCTGTTGCTTTGAAGGTAGTATCGTTCCACCGGATAAATTATCTTGATCCATGCTGAAGATAGAGAATTGAAACAACATAAAAACAAGAATCTAAATATCTTGCCCAACCTCAGCTATGGAAAAGACAAAGCATTCAAAATAAATCCAGAATCAAAGACACAAACGAGAATCTTCAACTGAAAAACACAAATTGCAAAATCCGAGATATGCCACAATTAAGTTAAACCAGTAAAGTAATGGGTTTAATACAAAACCTGCCATAGAGCGGGGCACTCTTCTTCGAATTGTAACTTTGTTCATCACTTTTAACACCCTGTCTTGACTTTCTGAAAGAATCAAAGTCATTCTTCTCTTCTTCCCTATTATCTCTATCCTTGTAGCTATCAAAGTTTCTTGAACCACTCTGGTAACTACCACCATATGAAGCTGAACCAGACTTATATGATATTCCCGACGATGAAAGGCCGACATACCTAAATTGAAGGTAAGACTGATCAAGGCTCCATAGAAAGAACAATGAAGTACAAAATTATCCTTTTCACTAACTTGTCACGATTTGATGCTGCTTTCTCTCTGGTTTCCTGGATTTTTTCCTTATTGTTCAACAGTGCCACTATGTTTTCCGCCTTCTTCCTCACATTGATTCCCACATCTTTTCCATTTGGTTCCACGTACTCGAAGCTTGTGAGTGACTAAACCAAGGACAATGAAAAAACAAACCAACAAAGATCACGTCAGCAAAAGATTCACAATCTCCAACTGCAGGCAAGGAGAGATAACACTGACAGGTACTTACAGATATTTGGTAAGTATGTTCAATAATCTCGTCAACTGCACGTTCTGATCCGTGTGAAATCAGATACTCTATAACAGCCAGTGCCTGATAGAAACATAATATATAGGATTACACCAATAGTATAAACTGTGGAATTTCACATCACAGGAAAAGGTCAAGAGGATTCTCACCTTGTAGACATAACGCCAATCTTTTCCTGTTTCACCCAACCTAGTCCATAGAACATTCATAACCATCTGGCACTCCGTACTATGCATATTGTCAATGAGCAGAAAAAAACATTACAAAATAAAAATTTGTTAAAAGTAGAATCACATCTTAAAGAATGAATTCGTAAACTTGGATATTACAATTTCTTTGTGGCCTGAGCTATCTCTGCCAATGCTGTCCCATGAGGACCCCAAGGTTCATTATCTGTAGCATCCAATACCTGTACTAAACACAGCCCAAGAGTTATTAACATAACTAGATCCCAGTAATTTCATCATCGGCACAATTGAGATGCCAGAATCGAGCATAAACACTTAGCATATAATCTGTGATTGGAACAAAGTTAATTCAAAGGGCAGGAATCAAGATCAAAGACAGAATTCCCGCAACTAGGAGGATAGCCATTGAATTATGACACAATCCCAGAGAGATTCTAATCTCTGGGCCAGTTTCCTAAGCAGTTCACAAAAAATCATATGGAGATTCAGCATCGGAACAACGTAATCAAAACAAAATCAGCTCAACTACTCATAATTATTGCCGATTCCATTTCACAGATTCGTTTTCATGCATTCTGATAACACAATAACACATCCTACAATATTTTTCCCACCAACCGAACAGGAGACATTTCAGCACATATAGAAAGCTAAGCGAGGACGAAACAAGTGGATTCTAACCTTCTGCTCGATCTCGGGGACCTTCAAAACCTTCAGATTCACCTCCCTCTTTCTGAAATCGGAAAACACATCAAAATAAGTAGAAAATATATCGAATTTGATAGAAAAGTAAATCATTGGATCCAAAATCGAAGTAGATTAGACGGAAAACCTACATTTCGCGAACCGTTTGATCGAATACCTTCATGAAATCCATTTCGAATCCCAAGAAATAATACCAACAACCGAAACAAAAACCTGCAAAAAATTTTGATGGGAGGAGAAGCGTAGATCTGATCAGACGCCTTGCTCGGTTTTGCTTTTATGGCTTTTTTTCTTCTTCTTTTGTGAACAAAACGGCACGAACTCCTTCCTCCCTTTGCCTCAATAAAACGGAAGACGTGTCAGATCCTTGAAATACATTTGAACTTCGTGCCGTTCCATATAACTATCGTGTTCTTTTTGTCATGGTTTTGGTGTGTGTAGGCGGACCTACATGCAATGGAGTGGATCCTAGCCCCCATCAACTTAAATAAAAAAAATTATGATTTAGTTATAAATTTTATAAAATTTTAACAAAAAATCTAAATGCCCCCATAGAGTTTTTATTTGTGCCCCTCCACTTATTTTATTTCTCTATTCTCTTATTTAGATTAAGCAACTTCATTTTTTATTCTTTGTTTCTTATCTATTTTTATTATTTCATAACTATTTTTTTTTATAAAAAAACATTTACAATCTAATATTTAATCATAATTTAAAAAACAAAGAATAACTTAATTAAAGATATGAGAGTTATGATTTTTATTTTAATTATTTTTTATTTTTATTTAATCATTGATTTCTATGTTTTGATTATAATTATAAATTTTGGTTTTATTTATTTATTTAATTTTATATTTGATTTGGTAAACAATTGATAATTTTTTTTTAAAAAAAAAAATTTTATCAGCATACTGGAAAGATTATAATCGATAATATATCAAATATTCAAGTTTTTCCCTATATACTGAGCAAATGGATTTGGATGATTTGGTTTTGGACTCAATCGATACAAAAAATATTAAAATATCATCCTAATTATCAGAAAGATGAGATAAAGCACAAATATTTGATTAGAGATCTTGTCAACCACATGATCATATCTTTTCAAAGAAGATGATAGAAAATAAATTGAGACTTAAATTTCAGTTTTGCAGAACAAATGTTATTCGACGTCAACTTTTAATATCTACATTGACAATTTGATAGAAGAAGACAATTTTCTAATTTGAATAATCTTGAAAAAAATCTTGTTGTCTTATGGTATAAACAAAAAAACATCTTTCATATTCATTTATATATAAATTTTTGAAATTACTTTTGATTTTATATGTTGTCACCGTGACTGTTGAAAAATATTTTCAACGATAAATTTTTTGAAAATAGTTTTACGCAACCGAATTGATGATCAATTTTTTTATTGATTGTCTAGTTTGTTTTATCAAAAATATATATTTCAAATGTTACAATGAAGTGGTTATATATAAATTTCAAAAAATAACAATCATAAAATTTAGTTGTAGAAGGTAAAAAAATTTATAATGATATATTTTTATTAAATTTTTCTATTTTGTATATATAATAACAATGACCCATTAACAATTTTTTCTGTGTAATACACCGAAACTTTATTATTTTCCAGTGGACTGCACACAAAAATAGGAAAGTATAAAATAAGATTATATGTGATTAAAAACTCTAACGTTCAGTATAACGACAACAATATAAATTTTGCAAACATTATCATAAATTCACATCAAATATTTATAATTTTTTATATAAGGTTTATGATAATATTTACAAATCCTATAAAACCGAAGTTCGGAATTAGTTTTATAAACAAATCGATTGAACCGGTCCAAACCCAAATCCAAAATCTCGATTATGGGCTCAGCCCAGATCGGGTCATCAGGCCGGCCCGTTTGATGGGTGCTTTAAACTTTAACAACGTCTACCAAAGCAGACCATTAAACCGGAATGCCCAATCACAGAACAATCCGGTTTATTATATGCAAGAGAGAGAAATAACAAAAGCAAATCGCGACCCGTCTCTCTTCTCTCGTCTACATCATCTCAATCGATTCTCTTCTTCTTCTTCTTCTTCTTCTTCTTCTCGTGATTCTGATTCTGAAGATCAGACGCAACCCAGATGGGAAATCCCTCTGAAACTGCTTCTCCCTTTGAGACCGACAAGACCAAGCGAACCGAGTCTTGCACCCAAGGTTTTCCCCCTTTTCTCCCCTGATCTGTTCGCCTTGATCCCGCTATGTGTTCTGTTTTTGAGTTTCGTAGCTTGCCAAAGAGGAATAAGATTAATCTCCCCCGAAAAAAATCTGAGAAAAGGGTTTCGATTTTCTTATTCCCTCTCCATCGTATTGATAACCTGGCGTTTGGATTTGTCTCTTGCAGAAGGAGTTCGTGCCGGAGCCAAGGCGGCCGCCGTCGCAGGTGTCGCCAGTGCTATTCCTACGGTAATCTTATTGATCGCTTCGATTTCTCATCTATCGTTTTTTTTTGGTTATTTTCCTGGGGAACAGTGGGTTTACTGTTTGTAATTCCTGTGAAGGATCGAGTTTGAAACCCATTTCGAGTTCGAGGTGAAGTTTTTGGTTAGATTGGTCTGAAGGCCACATGAGTTTGTGTTTCTGTTCCTTGGATGGTTCTCCGAATAGGGTTTCGAAGATTTTATGTATCTTCTGCTAACATTGAATTGTCCATGCCATGAAATGAAGAAGCAGTGCTTGCTTTTGTTGTGTTGTGTATAATGTGCCTTGTTCTTTTGCAACTGAGAATTAGTTTAGATGATCTCCTTTCTCCAATTCCAATTTCACCATTGGAAGTAGCGGCCAAGATCATGGATGATGGATAGATTTAGTTTCATTGATGCATATACACTGTTATGTATCTGTCACCCTTTTAGTTTCTGTATTTCTTATCGTACTTGTACTGAGATTTCTTTTTTGTTCTTGATGAATCGAAACTTGTACTGATTCTCGTGTTTCTTGTTGTGTCTACCATTACTAACAGCTTGTTGCGGTTCGTAAGATTCCATGGGCAAAGAAAAACCTCAATTACACCGCTCAGGCACTGATAATATCCGCAGGTATATATATCTCTTTACCCGAATGCTTTTCCTTCACATTTTCCCATTTCGTTATGAAATTTCCGTCTCTTCCCACGTCTAGCAACTGTTGCCTCAGAAGGTTTTAGAAAGAAATATAAAGCTATATTTGCATTGTACTCTATATAAGTTTGAGGCTTTCTTCATGGCACTAAAGATCTTTTTCATATCTTTCCATTAGAAATTTCTTGATGAGTTCAACCTTTTTGCTTTGGGCGTTAAAAAAGTCCCGATTTTTCTGGGTTAACATTCGAACAAGATTTGATCTTTTCTTTTTTGGGTCTTTTTTCGTATCTTTCCTTTCGAAATTTCTTGATGAGTTCAACCTTTTTCTTGGGGCGTAAGGAACTGTCCCGGTTATTCTGTGTTAACGTTCGAACAAGATTGAGCTTTTCTTCTTCGTCTCGTTTGTTCCTCCGTTCACGAAAGATCCAATCTGAGCACTATGGCTGCTGCATTCGATCACACATCTTACGAAATTTCGAAATCGCCTATAAATGAAACATCCCTTTTTCACGAATTCTGATGGGTTTGGTTTGAACAGCATCCATTGCAGGGTTCTTCATAACTGCAGACAAAACCATTCTTGAAGGGGCAAGGAGAAACAATGCGGCTCAGTTCAAGAAATCTCAACAAGACATCAAATGAATTCCTCAAGTGTCTTCCCGTGCAACTATTGCACTGTCTTTTTGTTTTGCTTGACATGAATGCTCTGGTCCCCTCTCTGTGTAGACTTGCTGTGATATTTTAAATAAATTTTTTATGAGAAATTAATTAAATGGTCAGAATCTAAATGATTTTTTTTTGTAAAATATCATATTATTTTTTTGTATGACCAATTGTAAAGCTAAAACTAAAAGAGGCAATACAGCAATCATAAAATTCAAGAAAAATGTTCATTGTGATTATTAGTGGTTGAAAAAACATGTTACAAATATTTGAACTAAACTCTAACAATTATCAAGGATTTAATCTACAAAAGCCATGCAAGTTAAATATGTTCTACAAATTTATCGACTATTGATTTTGTGAAAAAAGTCATCAATTATTTTATTTATTAAAAGAATTTACTTTAATCTTATTATAACTAGATCACAAATTATAAAATTCTAACTATGGTGATAAAAATTGAAGTATTTATAAAATTTATTATATTGTTCTATTTAGAATTTGTATAAATATTTAAATTTTTATTGTGATGTTTAGAATTATATAATTTTTATATATAATCGTTTATATAATAAATTTATTACATATTTTATTGTTTGAATTCATAATTGTATACAAATTTTATAATATTTGTGATCTATTAATATTTTAGATGTTTTAACTATCAATTTAAAATATTATATAGTGTATAATTTGTATATAAATTAATTATAGAAGAGATAAACTATATTTTTTAAAGAAAATAAAGTTGTTAGAATGGTATTTTTATTTTAAAAAGAAAAAAAACAAATTTGAGAAAAGTAAAAGATATAGTCTCAAGATATTCAAGTATGTGAAAAATTATTTCTTGATATTCACAATTCATGCAAGAAAATAAAATAAAAATGAAGACTTTTTTTTTAACATCGATTTGTATGTAATAAATCTATTATGGCTGTAATATTTTCTTCTGCCTTCCACTCTGGAAAATCCTTTTTTTTTATAGGAAAAAGATTTTATTATATCTATACATACATATATATGTGTGGGGTGTGATACAGAACACTTTTTTTAAGACAAAATCTCAAAAACTTCCCAAAGCAGTGTCTTTCGCCATAGCCCGCCGCTCTCTCGACAACGCGGTTCTCCAGATTTCGCTTCTTGGTTTCTCTGAATTCCTCTGTATTCTTCTAATCATCCTTGTTCGCGATCGTTTTCTGATTTTCCTTCTCGAGCCGATCTCAGGTCTTCTCGATTTTACGCGATCGGTTTTGGCTTGGTTTCCCCTGAAATTCAGCCGGAATCAGGGTTTTTGTCGTTTTTTTCTTGATCAGTCGATTCATTGTTGCGAATATGGTGGTGGGTTCTCAAAACCCTAGCAATTCTGCGTTCGTGAAGCCTCTCTCACTGGCTGAACCGACGGCGGCTGATATCCAACGCAATTCAGAGCTGGAGAAGGTAATGTGATGTTTTCGTCTTTATAGTTCGTTTTTATACGATTCTGATCTTTAGAACTCTGGGAATTTTGGTCAATGTCTGTAACTGAATCGTTGAAATTTCTTATCGCTGTTGTTTCAATGGAGCAGTTCCTGATTGATTCTGGGTTATACGAAAGCAAGGAGGAAACTGATAAGAGAGAGGAGGTTCTCAGTCAAATCAAACAGGTATCTTGAAGAACTTATCTGCTTGGTTGCTTGACGGTTTAAATTCAAAAGCAAGAGCTTTCCTTGGATGACAAGCAACTTCCGGTAGTGTCAGTGTAGATGCGTTAGTAGATAAATGAAACTTTGTGGTGAAACCTAGTACTATCTATCTGTGTGTAACTTTTGCCCTTTTGCCAGATTTTGTTCCTAAATGATAGATTTACGAAGAAGAAACTTGTTGTTTTTTTGTAGATTGTAACCAATTGGGTGAAAGCTCTTACCCGTCAAAGGGGCTATACGGATCAGATGGCGGAGGAGGCAAATGCAGTCATTTTGACATTTGGTTCTTATCGTCTGGGCGTAAGTATTTCGTGATGTGTTGCATTTGGTTGTTCTACTCTGTCCTCTGTTATGGATCAAGTTCGACTGTCTGGTGGCTTGTGGTGAATTTATTGTATCTTCGAGAAATTGTCTTATCGCAATTTGTTGGAAAAGAGTTTGAGGAGTAAGGTCATTTATTTTTCTCTTAAATAGATTAAAAGTGGATATGAATTGGTAACCACTAACCTCTAATTAAGCATATCAGGATATGCTAATTTTGCTCTGAATTTCTGTCAAGAGTACTTGGCTGGGATTTGGATCTTTCAAGTGTCACTATACTTTTGGCGGCATCTTAGAATTATCTTCTGTTATTCTCTCTTTGATTTCCCCTTGTAATGGACTATCTTACTTTTTTTGGGTTTGTTAAATAAGACAACTTTGTACATTTACAGGTCCATGGACCGGGGGCTGACATTGATACTTTGTGCATTGGTCCGTCTTACATCAACCGAGAGGTAAGTTTTCTTATTGTTCTGTTTTGTTTCTACATCTTGAAATCTTTGACTTCAGGTTCTAATTTCAACCTTTTTTTATCAGGAGGACTTCTTCATTATTTTGCATGATATTCTGGCAGAGATGGAAGAAGTCACAGAACTATACCCTGTTCCAGATGCTCATGTCCCTGTGATGAAATTTAAGTTCCAAGGAATATCAATTGATCTACTTTATGCTAGCATATCGCTTTTGGTTGTTCCACAAGTACGTCAACACTCTTGTTATGATAACGTCTAGAGAGTTTTTCTTACTTGATGGCAGAAAATTGCATACCAATCACTACAAGTGGTGCTATTTAGTTTTTAGATCGCATCCAACATTTCGATTCCTAGAATCCTAGAGCAGAAACCCTTAAGTAGTCAATGTCTTAGGAGTTTATTGTTTAAAAAAGTGCAGATCCATGGGTTATTTAACTAATGCCTCTTTTATTTGGGATATCGTTATGGCAGGACGTAAATATTTCCTGCCCCAGTGTACTGTATAATGTGGATGAACAAACTGTTCGCAGTCTAAATGGCTGCAGGGTTGCTGGTCAAATACTCAAACTAGTTCCAAATATCGAGGTATGCTTTCGGTTTTTATTTATAGATTCAGTAGATTGTGTCTACAAACCCCTAATCTTCTGCACAATTGCAGCATTTCTGTACTACTCTAAGATGTTTGAAGTATTGGGCAAAAAGGCGTGGTATTTATTCAAATGTAAGACTCTATCCTCAGTGCTTTTCAGTTTGACCTTCCACTTTTTCACGTCAGTGTGTTATCTAGGCCTCTCTCCCTGAATGCAGGTTCATGGGTTTCTTGGTGGTGTGAACTGGGCTCTTCTAGTTGCACGTGTCTGCCAGCTTTATCCTAATGCAATTCCCAGTATGCTGGTTTCTCGGTTTTTTAGGGTGTATACTCAGTGGCGGTGGCCAAATCCTGTTATGCTGTGTGCAATAGAACAGGATGAGCTCAATTTTCCCGTGTGGGATCCCCGCAAAAACCCTCGTGATCGCCATCATCTCATGCCAATTATTACTCCTGCATACCCTTGCATGAATTCCAGTTATAATGTCTGCCCGAGCACACTACGTGTCATGGAGGTGCAATTCAGCCGTGGTAACATTGTTTGTCAGGTGAGTACAAGTTGGTAGTTGTTTGTTTTACTTAGCTTATCTTGACTGTGTGACGTTCTTGCAGGAAATTGAGTTGAAAAAGATGCCATGGAGTACATTATTTGAGCCTTACCTTTTCTTTGAGGCGTACAAAAATTTCCTGCAAATTGACATAGTTGCAGCAGATATAGATAATTTGCTGGCATGGAGAGGCTGGGTGGAGTCACGTATGAGACAGCTCGTTCTGAAGGTAAAAGCTTTTTGACAGAAATATGTCGTAAAATGATGTGTCTTCAGCTGCACATTTATTTTTGCTCGTCTCTGATGCAAAACTTCTCTGGATTTCTGACCTATGCTTATCACATGTGACTGCAGATTGAGAGAGACACAAAGTCAATACTGCAATGCCACCCTAATACAAGTGGATTTATGGATTGTTCGAAGGAATACCCAAATTGTTCTTTTTTCATGGGTTTGTGGAGAACCGAGGGAGTAACTTGTAGAGAAGGCCGGCGGTATGATATACGAGGAACAGTGGAGGAATTCAGGCATGAGATCAACTCGTACATGTTTTGGAGACCTGGAATGGACATACATGTGTCTCATGTGCGTCTACAGGAGCTTCCTGACTTTGTTTTTCCCCATGGAATTAAAAGATCCCAACCTTTGAAGCATAAACAGCAGGCTGAGAATATCAACAGAGGTTGTCATTCCGGTTCAGATGAGAGACATGCCAAGAGGAAGAATGATGATGAACCGCTGGATGTGAAACAGGACAGACCAAACAAGCGAGCATCTTGTAGCCCAAGAAGGATAGAAACTCTGGTTTCTGACATTGGTAGCAGCTAGTTGCCTGTCGAATCTCTTATCAATTTAATGCGGGCAATTGAATTGAACAATCGGTAACCGGTAATGTGGATGATGCGTGTGGAAATAGTTCATCTACTGAGAAATTGATACAGAGACTAGAGTGCAGCAGGAAACAATGTAGAAATAAGCCAAGGGAATGATGAAACTTCCACGGAATCAGATACAAGTAATATGGAACAAAATGAACCTGGGTGAGCATGTGAAATCAGTTTCCGAGATTCTTGGCAGACAGGCAAATGGCTGTAGATATTTCTCGGAGGGTTTGTGGAGGAAATTACAGATCAGGAGCCTCAATTCTGAGGTGAGTTTCCTCATTTGAAGTTCTTTGTTTTCTTGGACTGACACCAGAGAAGACAAACCACGGGGAAGTAACGGGAGGGGAGCTTCTACAAGAGGACGCAACTTTGCACCTTCATCTCTTGACAGCATGAATGAAATACTGCATTCAGCTTGCTGAAAAAATGGATTCGAGGAAAGAAACAGGTCTCACACCAAACTCTTGATAATTGACTTCTGATCTTTGTCGGTCATATTTATGGGCTGACTCTACATAGCAACTAGATGTAATATGTATTTCCTTCTCATCCTGCCAAATTTTTGGTACCTGTTTCTCTTTCTCTTCGTATCTGCTAACAGATGCGTGTGTATTGCGGCAGGTCTTGGACCATACTGATGTTACCAATCCAGTAACTCTGCTATAGAACTTGTGTTTTTCATCTACCATCGACTCTTGGATCATTAAGTTTTCTAACATTGTTAACTGCCTCTGATTTCATCCTGTCCAGGAACTGCTGCTCTCTGGCTTTCCATGGCAGATTAAAGTGTGAATACAAGTAGCTGAATCTGTGATACAGTACAACTCTCGAAGATCATCCTCTATGAACAAAAAGAAGCGCTGCCGGTAAGTGTAACAGCTGTTCTCGGGGACCGGGTGTCAGAGCAAGGCAACAAACAGCTAATGCACTAGTTAATAATGAGATAATAGAATACTAGGATACATGAAGTTCCAAACTCGTTGGAAGAGTATGTTTCATATTAAGCATTTGACTTCTCATTGTTGTTAGAGAAACTTTGAAGAGTCAAGAGAGATCGTGTACATTCTCTATAACTTTACTATTGTGTAGATTACATTCTGAAGTCTATAAAGCTCAAACACCTTACATTATCTAATCTCTGTCTCTATCTCTGATATAGATCTTGTGTACTGATTATTCATTGTACAGGACAGAAACGTTACATTACATTACACGGGGGAGTTGAAGAAATCTCCAGCTTCAACACGTTTACTCTCTCTCCGACCAGAAAGGCTGATGAGCAGAGGCGTGTCCTGTTTCTCCTTTCCTATCTTTTGCAGATCACTCCCTTCTTGAAGACAACTCTGATGCAGGATGCGAAGAATCTCCTTCATGGATGGTCTGTGATTCGGTAATGTGCTTGTACACATTAGCCCTAGCTTGAACACTGTTGTCATCTCCTCTATGTAGGATGATAATTCTTCTTTGATATCTGGATCAAACGCGTCTGGAATTGGATTCCCGGATTGGTAATGCCTCCACGACCAGTCCGCCAGGTTCGTATGCTCATCCCCGTTGTTCCCTTCTCTTCCCGTCACAAGTTCTAACAAGACTACCCCGAAGCTGTATGCGTCAATCTTCTCATTCACCTTTGATGTATATGCGTATTCTGCAATTATATCAGATAGAGAAATATGATTTCTTGGGTATGTTTCCAGAGAGAATCTGAAAAACGGGTTTCGGATTCAAGAACTGATTTCTGGCCATAATGTAGTTTACCTGGAGCTATGTAGCCAAAGGATCCGGCAACAGCGGACATGGTATGATGTTCTCTTTCTTTGTGCTTTACCAGCATCTTGGCCAACCCGAAATCGGCTATTTTAGCGTTGAAATCGGAATCCAGCAAGATATTGCTGGACTTGATATCTCTGTGTATAATCGCAGGAGAACAATCATGATGCATATAACAAAGTCCCCGAGCTGCTCCAATGGCGATGCGTGACCGAGTTGGCCAATCCAAGCAAGTATCTGCACCTCTCTTCTTCCCATGCAGCCATCGATCCAGGCTTTGGTTCGCCATATACTCGTACACTAGCAGCTTAGAATCGTCGCTCGAAATACAGCACAGGAGCTTCACGATATTTGTGTGCCTGATCGTTCCGAGAATCTCAACTTCTGCTATGAACTCCTTCTCCAGCTTCTCGTCCAGCTTCTCACTGCTCCATATCCTCTTCACTGCCACGCTTTGGCCCAAGGAGCCGATGAAAATCTTGTAGACTTTCCCTGATCCGCCGCTCCCGATTGCGTTGCTCTCCGTGAGGTTTGATAAGATTTCGGATTCCGAGAAATCTAGTCGGTGAAACGAAGTTAGCTTCCACGATTCAAGATCAGTCCTTCGGCGTTTCCTGCTGTAATCCCGGATGACGAAGAACGTGACAAGCAGGGTGATGGCGAGAACCAGAATGGTGATTACTAGAATCATGGTGAGGATTTTCCCCGGCAGCCCTTTTGAGCTTCCGAGCACCCGCCTGCAATCCGGTAATCTGATAACCGGGTCGTCTGCGCAAAGATTCGAGTTGTTCAAGAAACTTTTCTCGAACGCGAGATTGTCAAACTGGTCAGGGATTCTCCCGGACAGTCTGTTAGATGACAAGTTGAGGTTTGTGAGCCTCAGATCGCCGATCTTCAACGGGATATGACCGGAGAATTGGTTTCCCGACAGGTCCAGACTAATGAGGTTAGGCAATGATCCGAGGGCCGTCGGGATTTTGCCGGAAAGCTTGTTGTCGGATAAATCCAGACTGCTCAACGACTTCCACGAGATGATTTTCGCCGGTAACTCGCTGGAAAGTTGGTTCCCGTCAAGAGAGAGGGTCAAGAGATTAGATAAAGACGTTAACTCCAACGGAATCTTGCCGGAAAACAGATTGTTGCTTGCCTTGAGCACGCCTAGACTTGACCATGAGCCGATCTTCCGTGGAATCTCGCCGGAGAACCGGTTGTTGTCGATCTCCATCCTCGTCATATTCCACGCGATTTCCTCCGGCAACTCACCGGAGAACGAGTTGTGACTCACCATCAACCACTGCATCTCGGGAGAAGTCCAAATGCCGGAAGGAATCTCGCCTGAGAACTGATTGTTCTGAAGCTGAATCGTGAGGAGGGTTCTGCAGTTTCCGAGCGACTGTGGGATTTTTCCGGTGAGATTGTTGGAGTAGACGACGGCTCCGAGTAGGCTACCTCCTCTGCACAAATTCTCCGGCAACTTTCCGGTCAACTGGTTCTCTGATACCTCAAACCTCTCCAGTTTCGAATAAAACCCCAAATCCGCCGGTATTTCTCCGGTCAACTTGTTGCTGAAGAGCTTCAGAATCTTCAGTTCCGGAAATTTCCCGATGCCCGCCGGTATTCCGCCGGTAAGCTCGTTCTTGAAGAGGCTCAACAACTCCAGTTTGGTCAGGTTTCCGACAACTTCTGGAATAGTACCGTTCAATTTGTTCACCGAAAGATCGAGTTCCGCCAGATCCATGGCCAAAATCGATCTGGGTATTTCTCCGATCAAATCATTGGCGTACAGATACAAATGGGTCAGATTCTTCAGCTCGAATATCGTTTCCGGAATCCGGCCCGTCAAGTTGTTTACCGACAAGTCAACGTGCTCCAGAGCCGTCAGATTCTCGAAAACAACGGATGGGATTTCTCCGATCAGATTCATCTCCGTAAACCACAGATACCTCAGCTTCTTCAGCTTCCCGAACCCCGCCGGAATCTTCGCCGGTAGAAACTTGTCATTATACGCCAACCGCAGCTCCTCGAGCTCCGACAGATCCCCAATCTCTGTCGGAAACGTACCGTTGTATTCGCTCTGGTACAGGTTCAGAACTTTGAGCTTCGACAACTCTCCTATCGCCTTGGGGATGTCGCCGGAAAACCCGTTAGCCGCCAGGTCGAGGTGCACGAGTTCGCCGGAGAGGCGGTTGATGTCACTGGGAATCGGCCCTTCGAACATGTTCTGCGAGAGATCCAAGTACTGAAGTTTCGAGCAGTTGTACAAAACCGTCGGAAACTGGCCGGGAAAATAATTGAACGACAGATCCAGGGACCTCAGGTTCGGGAAATCGCAGATCGAACCAGGTACCGGAACGGTGAAGTTGAAGTTGTAGAAGCTGATTCCGGTGACATTTCCGCCGGAGCACTCAATCTCCGGCCAATCACACGGCGAGGATTTGTTGCCCCATGACGAGAGAGACGGTGGGTCTCCGAGCTCGAGCTGCAGGCGTAGAAGCGTTGACCGTTCATCGAGCTGCGAAATTACAGAAAAGGGCAAAGAGGCGGCTAAGAAGAAGAGGAGAGGTACAAGGTGGGTAAAGGGTAAAATGGTCATTTTGTAAGCGTGTTAATTTCGCCGGCACATTGCAACGGACTTCACTGGTGGACAAGGAACGAAGACATGCAACTTATATATGTGATGAATGGATGAAGCGTATAGTATTAGATAGGGCTTGATTTTGCGTGATATTACGGATTTGCCACTGGAGAATTAAAGTATTATTAATTAGGTTCTATAATCTGTAGGGGGGTAAACTTCCAACATAGAAAAACAATGATTAACATAGTCTTTGTTCATGATTTATTTATAAATTTATAGATTTATCCTTTTTCTAATCTATTTTATTTATTCTAAATTAGTTAAATTTTATTTAAAAAATTTCATCTATTTGTTTTTTATTTAAGATTCTGGTTCCATTCTTACTCCATTTGAATCTTTGGATAATTTTTATATCTAATTTGAATTCATTAATCTCGTTTTAATAATTTATATTTACATTGCATTTGTTTTAGATTAGATATTATTGGTTTGGTTTGAATCCATTTATATATCCAAACGAATTATGAATTTTTGTTCTAAACTAATGTGCATATTAGTTATGTTAATATTTATATGTCGTAATTATTCTCAGAAATGTGTAGAAGTTTGAAATAATTAAATTTCTACTGAGCCACAAATTATCACATATTGTTTAAATATTTTCTATCTATTCCCGTAAAACAAAATATGAATATTTTTTTTTAACTTAATATTGGTGTTAAGTGGGTGTTATTATGACTTTTCTAAGTGATATAACTGTTGCGTTTTTTTTATTGAATCATTGATGTATATAAGTATATATTTGTATATTTATAATATATGCTTAGGTACATTTGTTTTGGTCAATATGTTTCTCATCAATTGTTTTCTTTTATTCTTAGATTCATTAAATATAATATGGAATGTGTTTGATTAAATGAACCAATAAAAGGTTATAAAATTTTATTGACCATATTCCACGTTTGAATTCGAAAAGGGTAAAAGTGTAATTGGGTATTTTTGCTACTTTATTATATAATAAATAAAGGACAAAATTAATCATTATTCTCCTAAAGCATAAGAATTAAGAACCCTTCTAGAAATTACTTTCCAATAGCATTTGTTCAAAGGGCAATATTGCAATAATACTCAACTCATGGATGTTCTTGAGGATGAATTTTCGTCCATAAAACCTGATAACCGGTTTGGATCTAGGACCGGTTTACTTACGTCGGTTAATTCTTTAGTTTTCTTTTTCATACCCTTTTCTATATTTTTATTTAAATAAAATTACTTCCGTAGTTCCTTATATGATTTAAGATTTAGGTATATTTTTCTAAACAAACGTTCACACCGAATTCAGACAATCTAGGTTCGATTATAAACCGGTTTAGATTATCCAGCTAAACACGTAAACCGGCTTTTAGTTCAGCTTCCCAAACCCACTTTGGAAAATTAATTCGTAAAGCCAAAGTTTCCCCATATTTTATGTATTACCTTTTTTTACTATATTTACTTGTTTTAAAAAATATTTTATTTAATTCTATACGTGTGTGTGTGTATATATATATATATATGCACGTCTTTGCAGACCGTTTGTATAACATAAAGTATTCAATATTCAAAGCATTTAATGCATTGTTGATTTTTCTAAAATAGAAATAGAAATGAATCTTTATTTTTCTCATATTATATTTGTCTTTTTCAGACAGGTTGGTGTATGATAGATTTGCTCGGAAAGGGCTCTAAGAAATTTCGTGTGTTCACATCTCAAGAACTAATAAATATTTTGAGAAAAGCCCCTCATATTATTGATTTATTCTATATCAATTGTTATTTTATATTGGTAATAACTAACCCCTAGATATTTCCTTGCGATTATTAAATCGGTCTAAATAACGAATGCAATGCATGCTAACATATTGGATCAAGTAATTTTGTAACTTTTACTATTTAAATTTTAATAAAATTACTTTATTTTTTCAATATAGAATTATCATGTTACACAGTATAACATTAATATCTTTTAAATTTCATTATTTGAAAAAATCTTATTTCAGTATTTTTCATATATCGATTAAAGTGTTTTATAATCTTGTAATCTTTTAAACTTTATATAATTGGAAAAGGCTCCGCCACGACGGATACATTAAAAAAAAGGTTACAATAATCAGATACAAACCAATGGTATTCTAGATGTTGTTAGTTTATGAAACTTCAAAACTAAGTTATGGCTTGATTTCGAAGGCTTATAAAAGTAGGGGGGCGAATACGAAGAACATAAATAAATAAGGGGTGGAAAATTGGAAAATCTCCCAAAATTTTACCTGTCATCTTCGTTATAAATTAAAGGTTTTTGTTGTTTCATGTGGTATGTATTTGACCGTTGACTAATACCGATCAACGGTCCAAATTTCCAGAAGATAAAATCCTGTATTTTTCTTTTCTTTTTTTTTTTCTATATGTGATATAATTTAATAAGTTTAGTAAAAATGTGAGGGAACGTCACACATGAGATCATATCCAAAAGCTTCTAATGGTTATCGACGAGTTCCCCTAGGTAGACCAATTTAAATAAAAATAATAATTTCTAAGTTCCGTTCTTGGCTAAATACATTTTACATTTTCTACATTGTGTATTCGTGTATACGTTACGTATATATAAAATTAAACTATAAGATAATATAATATGTTTTTTTGGGTAAAGATAACATAATGTGATATGATTAGCATAGAATTGTTTTTGTGTATTTATGGTGGGTAAGGCCCATTGTAATGATATAAAAAGCTATGTGGAATAATAGCAACCACGGGAGAAAAATTGTAAAAAATCAATAATTAATTAAAAGACTTAAGTACTCAAATGGATGACCAAATCACTAATGAAGGACTAACAAAAAAAATATATATTAAAGAACAAAAGGCATTTATATTTTTGTTTTTTTGCTACTAAGGAAGTGGGTTGAGTTGGTGTAATGAGTGAAAGAGAAGACTTCTTGACCACTTTGCCTCCATGAAAAATGTATAATTATTTACTTTTTCTTAATCTGTTTGGTAGTGAGCATATGATTCAGATTCAATAACCACACATTGTTATTCATTTTCTGAATTAAAAAACTCATTCTATTGTGATTAATTTGGAATAATTTTTATTTAAAAATATTCATTTTTCTGAAAAAAAAAATAATTGGAATCAACTGAGTGTATGTCTGGCTTTCTTTGTTTGTGTTAATTTTATTTTAGGCACTGATTAGTGCGCTTAGGCTAAATCATTCCCTATATTGAAATCTAAGTCAACTACTTAGGCCAACCAAACCCTAAGTGCCAATGGCCAAAAAATCTCTGTCTAAATTTCAAAAGATTGGCCAACAATCTCTTTTCAACCTCCTGATTATTTGTTCTCTTCGAAACAATAATTTACCCAATGCACAAAGCTCAAAGAACAAACTCTTGTTGGGCCACTAAGATCACATCTCATGTCCAAAACCAATCTCCATGCGTTTTGGTTGAGGTGATGAAAAGCCATATTGGTTTAGGGCAAGATCTCCCTAACAAATATGGAAACACCATTAATGGCCATAGTCCCAAAACTTAAACAAGAGAGAATGGAAGCATGCGTCCTCCATAGATATGTACTCTCTCTTTGTCATCCTTACAAGCAAGACACTGTATCAACTAAAACATAAACCGATGAGTAGACTGAAGAACATACAGGATTAAGTTTAATCTCTAGAGTAGAGGTGCATTCTTAAAGAAGAAGAACAAAAAAAATGAGCTCAATCAAGTGGGGAACCCTTTCTGTCGGCAGATCAAACAACGAGGAGCATGTTTTAATTTTTAGAGTTGTACTCAAATGATGGCACTGGAGGTGCATCAAAACTCTCCAGAACCTCGGTTTTACTCCCACTGCTAGTTACTGGTTCATCTTTCTTACCGAAAAACCCTCCAAACCATGATGATGATGACGATGGGGTTGAAGAAGAGGTGTTTGGGGTTAGACTCTCGGGTATCACAGGTGCTTGATTTGGCATCTGCCCCATCGGGATTCCCGGCATGCCAGGCATATTGGGCACCGGCTCCTCCATCATTGGCATATTCTGTGGTTGGCTGAGCACCTTGTTTAACATGATCCCGGCTCCTTCAATCAAAGCAAGTAAAACGCCTCCAAAGATTGCTGACCTCGAGGCTGGACCAAGCCCTTGTCTCATTGATAGAAACCCTCCTGTGGCAGCACCGGCTATAATCGAGTTCCAAGGATCCTCCTTCTGCCGGAGGTAGACCATGGTGCAATCAAACGTCGAGAAAAGACCACCCCACACAGCAAAACTGCCGCCTACCCGGGGAGCATTCATGCTCACGGCTTGCGTACCTCCTACTAAACGGGCCCCCTTAGGAGAATTGTATGTTCCCTTGATAAAATGGAAGGCAGCACCTCCAACAGCCCCCATACCAAAAGCACCACCGATATCATCAAGGATGCGATCAGGGCAAGGTTCCCGAGAAGTTTCTGGTGTTCCCATCAATAGAAGACTGGCTTAACCTCACTCGGGTACGGTAGAGGCTCGGGCTATGATGTTTTAGCAAAACCAAAAAATAAGTTAGCAAATGAGCTCAAGAGTGGCGACCATAAGTAAGATTATTCACCCAACCTGAAATAAGACAAAGAGGACGAGGAACCGACCTACCCCCCTTTAGTCTGATAACAAACTCATCGAAACATATTTGTTTCATGCAGCTCAAACGCACACATTCAACGTGCCCATAGGTAAAAACATCAAAAATATTTTAAAAAATCTTCTTTTTAGGTAAAATAAAACGGGTGATGAGGTTGGTTTCTCGTAATCTACATCTAATGCCGAACAATCAACTGATATCAGCAACAAAAACGTAGAAGATCGAGAACAGACTATATCATGTTTGTCTAAAAAATGAAGACAATCTAGTTGTAAATGCTAATATCACAGAATGAAACATGAAAAAGTAGAACAATGGCATGGAATTACAACCTCGAACCATTCGTAACTAGTAAAAAACCCTATCTAATTCACTATAGGAAGAAACCTGGAATCAGAACCCCAAATGCCCGAAATTTCGCAAGAGACAAACGAAGCACAGCCTCGAAAAACAACAATTCGAACTCACCACGAGTAAAAACTCCACGAACCGCGGAAAAATCGGACTCGATTAAGAAGAAACAACTATGAGATCGATTCACTGTGGAAACACAATAAGCCGATTCAGGGTCCAAGACGAAATGAACGAATCAGAGACAATCGCGTGGTAACTACTCCCGGATGAACATATGCCGCGAGAAAACGTACCTCGACGGAGACTAGGGTTTATGATCTCGGCGAAGGAAAGATTTGAGGCAGAGAAGAGAATAGAGAGAGGAGGTGGGCGGGCATATAATAGGGTTTCTCGCTTGTTCAACCAAAAAATTAATAATCACGTGAGAAGCACGTGATACCTCACCCCGCTCTTTTTCTAGATTTTGCTCCGCAGTGACCCCTGAATTTCTTCCTTCTTCTATTTTCACCCCATAAATATCCATTTTGCGATATTTGTGGTTTGAAAATGATTTATTCGGTTCAATAAAAATTGTACTAAACTAGAAGTCTAGAACTGAAAACAACTCAAAATGATTTTGTTATATGAAGATGCGAGACTTAATATTAATATATATATTCGTTCATAAAGGTGCATACTTCGAATTTTGATTCGGTATTTATAGAATTCGTTTTAGTAGTTGTCGAATTCGATTAGAGTTTCACCTCTATAAAAAATTTATACCAAATTACAACTGAATATTATTATTTAGTCTGATACGATCCTACTCGATTTAGATTTATAATTGACCTCCATAGTTTTCACAAAAAAATGCCCTTCGAAAAGAGTGTTAAATCTTTTTTTTTTAAATTTAAGAAATCTTTTTTATTTTAAAATTTAAGAGCACAGTTAATTTGTCAATTAATTTTTTAATACTGTTACAAGGAGACTGTAACATCTTCACGTAAAGATTATAAGAAAAGGAGAATATTATTCAGAGTCCCAACACATTACACAACCACACGACAAAAGCATTGAAACAACAAAGTATTATGTCTGGTCTCTCATTACACAAGTAGTCTCTGTTTACACGCCATAACCAAGGACGAGAGGCCAGGTCAAGAAATGTGCTTCAGCTTGATTCACCAGTAATTCATTAAAGTAACAGATGATTTATGTACGGGTGTATCTCCATTCTCTGAATGCTCGTCATATAAAGTTCATGTAGAGTGATCGGATGGGTTGGAATGGTAAGTTCGCCGCCTCAACTGGCTCTCCCCCGTTGGCTGCTGCAGGAAAATCCTTGTCGGGTCATTCGGGTCGACGTATCTGCAACACGCAACCACCGACCAACATTTGTCAGGCAACATACAAAACCCGAAGGGAGGGAGTTCGGTTAGTTCATCACTTCCCCATGATGTTGAGATGGATTATCTTCTACTTCTGCCGCTAAGGATCTCAACATTGCATAGGGTTTAACCGTTAATAGCAGTAAATTCCTATCAATCTAAAGAAACTAAGGATAACCCTAATGAAGGATCGTTGCCCTGTTGATTGCTCTCAATCGAGTGAGAGAAGGTTCTAGTATGCTGTATGTTGTAGTTTTCCCCCCGAAATCTCATCATGTTCCAGAGTGGAAGCTCAAGTCTTTTACACTCTTCTTTTTTTCCCAAAGAGTCTCAGTTAATAAAGATGCCACTAATGGTTGTGCATTCCCCATGAGTGAGTGCGTGTGTGTATATATATCTGAGCATAAGAACAGGTCTCATATTCCATCTAAGAAAACTTACGCGTGTCTCATCATTTCATCCACAGGAGTTTGTGAAGCTTGAAGAGGATCGACACGAGGTGGTGCTGCTGCAGCTTGTTGCATTTGCTGGTTGTACCGTCTCACGGAAGAGATGAGATTGAGGAAGAGAGGAACAAAAGTCCCACAACCACCTTCCTTGAAGAGGATCTTGAAATTATGCGTTGAGTATAGAGCTCTATGCTCATTTTCCGGTACCACCTGGGAATTTTTGTTTTACAAAGCTAAGGTGAGTAAACCCGTAAAAAAACACAAATGGAACCCGTCTGCTGTCTGGAGGAAAAGAAAAGACGAGCTTGTAAAAGATACACTTACAGGCTCCACTTGGCCAGAGATATTGTTGCAGTGGAATATTGGCTGATTGAATTTTTCGCCATGAATATAGAGCTGCAAAGTTGAGTAATATACAGATCAGTTCCGAAGCAAATCTGTAAAACTCAGAATCAGCCGTCTGTTCCTGACGTAGTACTGGCAAGATAAATTTTATCATTTCCAGAAAACTGAACAGGAAAATTGAGCTGAGGATCAGACAGAAGAAGAAGAAAAAGGAAACGATAATGTTCCGTACCAGGGGCATGTCAAAAGCAACAAGGTTTCCAACAGGCTTGCTCGCAACAAAGACCAAACGTATATTTGACAAATATACCACTCCCTTAGCCTTAACATGACCTCCCTGGTCTCTGGAGCAAACACAACAAAAATCAGGAACAGTGTTGAAAACCTACAGCAGAATATGTCTCACTCATATGCAACTATTCTTACTTACCAGATGAACAAAAACAAACCTCGATTTTACTGATTGGATAATATAAGAAAGAAAGCCAAAGGATCTTACTTCAAGACTCCAGTTCTGATTAAGCAATGTTACTTAAGTGGAAACTCAAACAGAGTTGTTTTCGGATCAAAGTATAACAAAGAAAATATCGAAACGGGTCCAAAATGCGCAAGAAAATAGAGGTGGGGGAACAAACCCAGGGATCTTATCGACTTCAAACTCGACTCCATCTCTGGCGAGAACGAACATTTCGCTGACAAAGGGAACAGGCATCCCGTTGGGTAACAACTGAGGGTTTAGTGCCATGATCACTACTCAATCAATCGAGATGGCCAAAAAATATCGTGTTTCTAGCTTTTGCTTCTTCTTCTTGTATGCTTTCTCAATCCGCAATTCTTTCCACTGCGCAACCCAATCGCCAAAAATGTATCAAATATGAATCATTGATCACACAAAATGATCATGCAAATAGATCTCAAGTAGACGAAATATGACAAACTGGCATCAATTGTTAATAACCGGAACAGGCAAAAAGGACGGAACAACCAAAGTAAAATCCCAATTCCTTTCATCATGATCATGGATCAGGCCAGAGACGAATCACACTACTATTGTTTCTGCTAAGCAATTTCACAGAAAACGTGTCCAGAGACGGGAAACATTTCATCAAGGAAACCACACGAGCGTTGGAGATCCAAACCAAAAGCGAAATAGAAGGGAAAACCCCTAGGGTTACAATTCAAATTCCAAAAAATTCCACCAAATTATAAATAAAACATATAAAATCTAAGAATCATGGAAGTACCAAAACAATCACCAGCGATAACAAGAATTCGCACGGCGATCCAATTCATTTATAGGAAACTGCACATATCGAGAGAAGCTTGGAAACTCTTGTAACCACAACCAGATCAAGAAATTTCTCGAGAAACAAACAATCTGAGAGAAAACGTACCTTGATCGAGAACTGAAGGCTTTGATCAGAAAGGAGAAATACGATCGAGCAGACGGGAGAGGGATGGAGATATGTTGTCGATGAGATGCAACTACTCGCTTGTTCGAGAGGATAGAACATCACGCGTACAGCACGTGCTCGCAGCCTCTTCACATCTCCTTTATTATTCGGTTTTGCCTCTTTGAATTTTACGTAATTCAATATTCTCCCCAATATATTGCAAAGTGTCTCCATGCCCCTAATTACATTTTAACCTCGAATTAAATTGACAAAAAAATAAATTACTAACTGTTAATTATTATTTATCTATTTTTAATTGACTCCTTTAACAATTGAACCGTAACCATCACAGTTTGCTTCACTTTACCCTAAATGATATATAAGTAATATATATTATTATAGCTTTCCAATCCTTACTATGTATTTTTTTGGTAATTTAGATTTGTTAACTACACTTTCGACCCAACAATATTCATTCTTAATCAAAAAAACAAATTTGTTGCAATTAAATTACGTCATTTCTCTCTAACAACCACTCAAACATAGGATTACCCTTACACTTTGAAAATATACTTAAAACATATATATAAAATCAACAATTCAACATTGTCTAGTTAGATGTATTCCATCATTGTTAATAATATTAAATAAAATATCATATTTAAAAGGAAAATTTTAAGCAGATTTTCATTTAAAAAAAAAAGACATCAAAATATTTCAATTTACCAAAAAATGCCAAACAAATATATCAATTCAAATTATATGATCCTTGAAATAGTTAAAAAGTCAAACGGATTTCGATAAAAGGATGTTGGCTCTGGTGGTGAACTCATTCATTCAAGTGTTATTACAAAAGCATTACAGGACAGAACAGAGGGGCAAAGGAAGCAAGATAGTTCTCTTAGATCATGGCATAAAAGGAAACAAGAACAAAAAGGAAACAGAGGCATAGACAGAGACATGGACTGAAAGAGAAGGTTCTGAATAATGATAGATTGTTCTGTCTGAACACTTAGCGGTAGTTTCTGTAAACAGGACTGTACATGCAGCTCTCTGCAAACTTCACCAGGTCCTTTGCACGAGGAAGGTTAGACGCCAGTCCTGCATTTACAAGATGTCAGTTTGGTTATCAGATATCGGGGTTTTTTTTTTACAAAGAAACCCGAGAAAGACGATGTATGGAACCAACCGAGGTCGTAGGTTTTGGCAGCGACTTTGGCAGCGATATTGGCAGATATCTTTCTGATGTTTGAGAAGGGCGGGTAGATCAGTCCGTTTGCAAAGTTCTCCTCACTCACTTGCTCCGCCAGTGCCTCAGCTGTTCGGTAAAGAGAGAAAACAGAGGATGTTTCATGAGAAAGTTCCCACCTTTTTTCGTGTTTTACAGATTCAGAAACAGAAAACGGCTTTTCCGTGGTTTCGAAAGTGTGTTTTAGGGGAGAATTCAGAACTGAAATGCATCATCGATTTGCAGAAAGCTAAAACCTTTTTGAGGTTTAGGGCAGAATTCATAACTGTCTTTTTGTAAATTCTTTCAACCGTTTAACCGAGGGAGAGTTCTAATACACTTACAGGCAGCAAGAAGCATGTCATCACGGACACGAATTGCACCAGACATGATCAAACCAAGACCGAGACCCGGGAAAATGTAGCAGTTGTTTGCCTGAAACAAGGGTTATCAATTGTAAACCACATGACCATCTGAATTCCCGGAAAAAGATTTGCAAAACCGAGACTGAAAATGTCATCGAGAAAACACAAAACTAACCTGGCCAGGCACGAAAGTTTTGCCATCGTACTCAACGGGATCAAACGGGCTTCCACTCGCAAAGATTGCACGACCCTATATCGTTAAGAAACTATGATCAAGACTCTATCCAAGAGCAAATACAAGAGCTTTCTTTCTACATATTCGAGTATATACCTTGGTCCATGCGTAAGCTTCTTCTGCTGTACACTCGGCTTGGGAAGTAGGGTTCGAGAGAGCAAGAATCAACGGTTTCTGTAACCCGACATCGAAAAGAGCATTAGAAACAATTTGTGCAGAAAACCCGGTTTCAAGAAAATAATATGTAAAAGAGGAACGAGAAGAAAACCTCGTTGAAGGAAGCCATGGCCTCGACAACTTCCTTTGTGAAAGTTTTTCCCACACCTGATGTCCCGATCAGCACGGTTGGCTTTATCACCTGATTGAAAGTTTCAACCAAAAAAAACGGTGAGAATAAAAAAAAACAACAGAGGATTACAAGATCAAGAATGTTAAAGATGAAATCTTTACAGCATTTACATACATTGACAGCGCCCAAGAGATCCTTGACCGGCTCATGTTCATGTGCCCACGGCTGCTTGAAGTGCTGGAGCGATTCTTTACGAGAGCTAACAATCAATCCCTGCGCAAAAAGAAAGTTTCAAAAACCGGAAGAAGAGGAACCTCAATGCCCGGTTTTAGAAGATACAGACAGCAAAGTGCCTGGATGTTACACCCTACCTTTGAGTCCACAAGCCAAATCTTCTTCCTGGCCTCTTCAGTCGGAGTTCCGGTCTGAAAAAAACAACAACACGGGTATGGTTAATCACGGATTCTTAGCCTGTAAGAAGAGCAATGACATAAAATCTCGGGAACTGCTAACCTCTCTTGAAATCTGAAGAGCAATCAGCTCAGCAATTCCGGTTCCAGCCTTCGAAAAGGAATCAAAGAGATTAGATTAAGAGCCAAAACATATGGTGAACGCTTCTAGGGGCAGAATTTTAGGTCTCACCTCTCCGGCTCCCAAGAACAGGAAGGTGTGATCAGCCAGGTTTTTACCGAGCAGCTTCTGGGCGGCAATAAGCCCAGCAAGCACCACAGATGCAGTACCCTGGAATTATGCAAGAGTGGAAAAAAAAAATCAATTCTTGAGATTAGTTTGTTCAGAAGAAAAAAGATCTCAGACAATGAAAACTCAGAAGTGAAGGACAAGACCATTACCTGGATATCATCATTGAAGACAAGATGACTGGAGCTGTACTTGGACAGAAGCTCAAACGCGTTGTGGTTTGCAAAGTCTTCAAACTGAAATCAAGAACATATATACATATATATACACACATATCATGTCAATGGCATCTAGATGTAAAGAAGAAGAAGAAGAAGAAGAAGAAGAAGAAGAAGAAGAAGAAGAAGAAGAGCAATGTCAATAATGTTCCATGGGCTTTAGCAGAACCGAGCAGATAATTCACCTGCACCAAGACCTTCTCTCCATAGTTCTGCTTAGCAGCGCACATGAACTCGTGCAGAAAATCTGCATATTCCTGAATTTAAAAAGAAAAGGGGATATAACTTCTCAGTTTCTGAAAAAGTTCATAGAAAGACAGCAGAGAAGAGAGAACAAGAGGAAAGCTATTGCTGAACCTGTCCTGTCGCCCTCCGCTGCTTAAGGCCAATGTAAAACTCATCGTTCAGCAGCTTCTCATTGTTGGTACCGACATCAATGGTGATTGGAAGGCACTGCAGATGAATCGGGTTTATAGATTTATGAACAGACAACAAAGAAGAATCAAGCAGAACACGTTTCTCGGTGAAAAGATTGCAACTTTGACACGGTTCTTACCGCCGAGGGACGGATTCCTCCCAAAGCTGTGTAAAGAGAGAGCTTCCCCACTGGGATTCCCATTCCCTGGGAAAATTTTACGACGACGAAATCATCGGTAAAATGATATGTAGAGAGAGTAATTGGCATGTAAACTAAACAACCCTTTACCTGGCAGCCAAGATCTCCCAGCCCAAGAATGCGCTCACCATCGGTGACAACAATAACTTGAATTCCCCTCTGTGGCCAGTTCTTCAACACTTCAAGAATCTTACCCCTGAAGAATGAAGCCCCAATCTTTCGTTCAGGCAAGAGAGAGCAAACAAAAACCATGAAAGCCGACATGGTAAAGAGGATGACAAAACACAGTTTAAAACATTCGAACACACTTCTCTTTCAGGCTGATGTAAAGACCCTGAGGCCGCCTGAAAATGCTCCCATACTTCTGGCAAGCTTCACCAACTGTCGGTGTGTACACAACTGGAAGCAATTCCTCGACGTTATCGATCAGAAGCTTGTAAAACAACCTCTCGTTCCTCTCCTGCAAAGATTCAGATCCGCAGTAGGAACCGGTTACTCACAAATTATTTCTAATCAGTGAATCAAGAGTGCATAATCAGTGAATCTCTCCCTAATCCACCTGAAGATCCATCAAGGCCATGTAACGTTGCAGAGGAACCGTGTACTGGCGGAGATTGTGCATCAGCTTTCTCTCCTATTAACAGGCAAACCATGATCAACACAAACCCAAAGCAACAAACACGAAAATCTCAAATCTGAGCATGCGTTGTGTTAGGATCTTGAATCTTGAATCTTGATCGCAGATTTCAGTATCACCTGGACTTCCTGAGTTAGAACAACAGGAGGCAGAAGACCGGTTAAGTAATGGGCATCTCTCTCCTTGTCAGTGAAGGCAAGTCCCTTGTTGTAACGCGGGTCACGCATCAATGAATAGCCACTGTAAATTTTTTCACAAAATTTTTAAGAGAAATGACCGATTAAAATCGCAGGAACTGATTCATAATTCAAAAGCAAGAAAATCATCAGTTGCTGATGTCCGAAATTTCTGAGTTTGCAAGTTTAATAACGAGCAGTGAACAGAAGAACCTAATCCAGCAATTCTTTGATCCCTTCTATTACATAAGAATCAAAACTTTAGAACATTAACATCCTGAAAAACAGGAACTGAAGCGAACCAACGAGATCAAGTTGTGACAGAACAGATAAAAGTTGAGATCTTGGAAGGCAGTAAGTAAAAAAGAAAATCCAGCAAGTCGTCTCACCTGGCAACGGAAGTAACCCAGGGGGTGACGAGCTGATCCAACGTGGCACTATCCTCACCGTACACGTCAGAGATCCCGCCGCCGACGCCGGACCTGTTGTCGGCCACACAGTCGCCGGAGATCTCAGTCGGAGTACTTCCCATTCTCTCTCTCGCTGTCGACGATCGAACAACACAAAGGCTCCGGACACAAAATGACAAAAAGCGACAAGATTTCGGGAAAAATCGGTACAGCTTTCTTCTGGGCTCGAAGATAATTTGGTGGATTGAACGGGGAAGAAGATCTTTACTTATATAGGGGGGAAGGGACCTGTCCGGATGGCCGGAAAATTCCTCCATTGTCAAATAATGGAGAGGAAAACGTGGACCTATCATCGCCTGTGGGTCCCACGGTCCATGATTTGATTTCTATTGTTTTCTCCTTTGGCCGCCATGATTTTTTCGTTAAAGCGTCCATTTACATGGAAAAAAAAACTTTTTTGAAAAAAAAAAGATATTTTTTACAGCAATGTAAAAAAACCCTTTTGAGAATTATCGTTGTATGAATTTCTTAGGATAATACAATAATATATACAATCATGTGGTTCACAATTTTTTAGAACAATAAAGTTTTCTCATTTATACGAGAAATTAGAAAACTTTATGGCAACAATCAAATAATATGTTGCATTTTGAAAGTAAATTATCAGAGTATCGCTTGATTTTTATTTTTTTTAAACTAAAATAAAAAGGTTTTGGGTGCATAAAAATAAATAACCATGAGATGAAAACCTTTCAAAAGTCTATATCTATAAACGGAAATTGAGAATATAATTAAAATATTCAAATAAATACAACGAAACGCTACAGATAATATACCAAATGAGATTGTCGGATTTAGAAAATACATATATCAAACATGTACTGTATATATAACATCTTCGCGAAGCTATTTAATAACAATACGCGTTTTAAAACAAAAAAAAAAACAATACGCGTTTTAAACCCAATCTGGGTAGTTCAACTGTTGAAACGGAGGCGCAAAACGTCTGTCCCGCCCCGAGTTCGAACCCCAGGCTGGGGAGAGAGCGCATAATTCAAATCACATGGCTGGCTCCCGGCCCCGGGATTAGTCTGGACCTCGATCCAGGAAACCCGGTTACCCAAAAAAAAAAAACAATACCCGTTTTATTCTCTTTTTCCCTGTAATATAATAATATGCATTAAAACTGTAGTGCATAGATAAAAGACCATGACAGTGAATATACACGTTTAGCGAATTGAGGGATAGTTGGATGGCACTTCTATTGATCAATGTGTGTGAGTGTGTGTGTGTGTATGTATATATATACGGTACCATCTAAATAATCTCTCTCTCTCTCTCTAATCTCTCTCTCTCTATATATATATATATATATCATACGGTACCATCTAAATGGATAAACACATGCTAAATAATCACATGCCCTTGTCCGTGTATTACAAGAACATACAATGAATCCATAGATATTGGATATTTTGAAACCCAAGATCCATCTGAATTTTTATTATTATTAGTATATAAAAATTTGTACTCGCACGCGTATAATAATAATTTTGGTCAGCCTATGTGTGAAAAATCCGATCACGCATCATAATATTTGCATTAATCAAATCGAAATTAAAAAAAATGTTGTTTTATTTCATAGAAAAGGAACACAATAACCCACCTCGTGGTGGTCGAGCGGCAGGCGCTCCTGGTCTGTTGTCTGTATGCGGCGTGGGGTTGGGTCCGGGGGAGTCAAAATTGGCCGGCATTTGGAGCGCAACTTGGATTATAATAATAATAATAATAATAATGAATATGATACAAAATTCATTATCAATAATACATATATATATATATATATTAATATGGTTCGTATCAAATCCAAAATATCCAACCAATCAATTTCTACTATTGCTGATTTTTTTTATATCATTATACAATAATATACTAGATATTCAATAAATAGTGACGAAAAGCTTGATTTATTTTTTGGAAATGGGTATTTATTAGGTGAAGAGAATCTTATTCCACGTCTCAACAACAACGACGTAGTGATGCTTATAAAAAAGAAATATAAACGTACATTTTAAATAGTATTTTTATCGTATGTGATTAATTTTTAAAATTGATTCAGCAGTTATCAGAAAACAATGAATTGCAAGACTTTTTTTTTATAACCAGGATGGTTCCCGGGCCTTCGGTCCGACTACATTCATCCTAGGTCCGGGACCAACCTTTGTACTTTTGTATATGGACTATTTTAATTCAGAAATTACATCCCTCCCTACAAATGGAATCGAACTCATGAACTCGATGATGACTTTACCTTTCATCCACCGGGCCATTAACTGTTGGGTAATTACAAGACTTATTATATACCTGCATTGATTGTTAAAAAAAATGGTATTATTTCGAAAGGCCAAGACATGCATGCAACAAAATGAATTGGATATTTAAACCCAAATATCTACTCCTACATTTCATTCTTGAATATAAAAGATTTTATTTTATTCCATTTTATAATATTAAATTATTTATTGAAGCGCTGTAACCACAATAGTCTTGACATTAAAGGGGCAACGTCTGACCTTTTGTTGGTAATTTCTTATTTAAGGCGTTCCTTTTGGACCGTTTCTTCCACCAAAATTGGGATTCACGTAACGCGAACGAGTTTCCTCTTCTTCTCACATACCATAAAAGTAAATTATTTTTTGTTGGCGCCTTCATTTTCTTGTGTTCATACAATACATATATTTCTGTTACTTTGATACTTTACTTAAATTCAGACATATATGATTTTCAAAATATATATATAATTGGTTTAAAATTGGACTATACATAATTAGTTTTGATTTAATTCAGTTCTATATGGTAATATTTTCATCTAAAAAATTAAGAAGCATAGCATATACAGCACTGAAAACATGATTCTTTCTTGGCACAAAAGACAATAAAACATCGTACAATTCCCGTATGAACAAAAGCGAGTAATATTTAGATGGAGATAACCATATATATATGTGTATATAATATATATACACACACGTTCTAGAGCGATAACTAGATGATGTTTTACCGACCGTTGACTTTGCCATTTGAACATTGACCCCTTTAATATTCAATTCAAAACAAAACAAAACCAATATTTCTCTGAAGCTAGAGAAGTCAGTAGCTAAATAATAATTTCACAATATTGACTAATCTTTTCTTATTAATAAAAAATTCCAAAAATAACGGGCCATAAATTCGTATTTAGCTCGCTATTTCATCAATCCGCCCTCTGGACGATCAGATTAACATACAAAATCCGACCAAACCCAAGTTGCATGATACATGCATACAATACACATACATGCGTATAAACTATATATATATATATATATATATATATATGTGCAGGGGATGTCATAGTTCGGACAAAACATGAGACAAACTGAAAATATAAGCATCTTTGTATGTCTGTGTATGCTTTAGGACCAATCACACAATAATAAGAACCCTAACTAGAGCTACTGAGCAAGGAGCAATGGCCAACCATATGGAAGAAGAAAACATAAGTCCAGAATGAAACCGAAAACACGAGAGAACACATCGGTTATTCGCTTAAACCGATTCAGTTTCTTTCAATGCAAACTGCATGAGTAAGGTCTCTAAGCAAAATGGATGAAATTATGGAAAATAAGAGAATCACCCAGAAAAAAAAAACACAGCTATGGGTGAAAATGAGAGACACATGAAAAAGTACCAGGAGAGGGAAAAGATTGGATTGGAGCTGTTAAGGCAGAGGATGAATTCCCTTTTCTTGGTTTCGGTCTCTTATCGAGGAACACTAAGGCCAAGCTCTGCAAGAAAATCACGAAACAAAAGAACAGTATCAAACATGGAACATTCATAATGATAATGGTTGTCTGAAAACTAAAGTGAATCCTTTTTATCAACCAAAACATGACAATGCTTGGGGTTAACAGAACAAATCATTGAAGAAGCTACACAATGCTCGAGAAGAACTGTGCTAATGGATCGGAAAAACTAGGTCTATTGGAAGCTCTAGAAGTTCATCACAGAAGCATTACTGAATTCCTCTCAAAGATCATACTTGGCAAGAGCTTCTTATAGCTTTCGTGAGCCAGGGACTGGGTTACTGGTTAACATAACTAAGCAGAATGCAAACTATCTGGCAAGACAAATTTGTCTGCCAGTTTGAGAGAAGGCCTGTATTTCAATGTTATACGCAAAGAGGAATCAAAATCTGTCTCAGCTCTTCAACTGATACAAATCTCCAAATGAGTTGGATTTGTAAAAACAAAGGAAGAGAATTTCAGTAAAGAGAAATCCTTGGAGGAAGAAAGGCCAGAGTCTCGCATCCCACATATGATACCATGACACGAGCATTCATATGAAAAGATGATGGAAAGAAAACAAGTTAAACAACTCCAATTAAGAACAGGAAACGGCATGCAAATCCGGGAAGATGTCCAAGATCAAAGAGTAAAAAAGTTGCTTACAGATACTAAACACAAAACATTTGGAGATTATCAAACTCCTGGATTTGCACTGCAGAGCATACCCTGAGACAGCGACCTCGAGCTCCTCGAATCGATGCCGAGACACGAAGTCAACCGAGCTGAAGACACTGCACTGTGCAGTGGAAGTAAAGACTGAAGCGAGCCCAGCTGAGAAATTGGCCTGTAATATAAAAAAAATACATCCAAAACGTTTTTCCTCACAATTCCGTCGATTCCAAGACAACCCACAAATCGAAATGGTACGAACACAAAATCTATGACTCGAATTCGGGGGGGAACCCCCAATCAGAATCGTGGAAAGGGCACGCGAAATTGAATCGAAAAGGGCTTACCTCGATGATCCAAGCGAATGACGAGCACCGAGAAGCGAAGAAGCCGATCTGGATCCGACCGAAGGCTTGTTCATAGCAGATTTAAACAAAGAAACCGCAGGCTTCGACAAAGATCGACATCGAGAAGCCATTTCCCGGGAACGCGTAGACAAAGACGGAGATCGGCTTTCTAGGGTTCTTTGAAGAAACTGCGGCAACCAAAAGAGGGGTTTTTGCGAGGTTTAGTAAAACGACGCCGTAGTTTACGGATAGACACGCTAAATCCTTCTTGTAAAAGATGGCACGCATTCCGATGGTTTATCCGAAAAACAACACGACGTTCAGTCCCCCAAATATATATATATATTTATAACGTGGTGTTGTGACTTGAAATGATTTGAACTGAAAAATAAGACGGAAAAGGAACCGGCGTCGTGCCCGAAATGCCTAGACGAAATTAACGCCGTTTTCAAGAAATTGAATTCTGAACAATGTAATATCAGACAGATTCTATTTAACAAAATTGATTTTATAAAATAACGAATTTTCTCTTACAAAAAATAATATATATATATATATGTATATATATAAACTTCTGGAATGGCATATTTTTATAGGCTGGGATCTGGTCCCATACGTACGATTTTGGATATAATAACAGATAAAAGTACATATAATGTCTTCAGCATCATATCACTATACGTCTTTTTTCTTTTTGGGAAAAATCATGATCCGTCCTTTTGTAATGTTTGGCCATATATGTCTGATATTACAACATTTAATTACTAAATATTCTATAACACTTTTCTTGTACGTAATTAAAGCCATGGCCTTTGTACGACGATGATTAATTACCATCCACTTAGATATTTTGTATTTATAATCTTGAGTTTCAACATATTTCTCTATGTTCCGGGTTTATATACATGGATTAAAATTAATTGAGTATAAAAAATACTAAAATTTTTAAATGATCCAAAAAAAATACATAAACTTGTATGTGATTGTCAAAAAAATATTAAACTTATTAAATAGTTCAAAAAAAATATATGAACTATGTACAATTATAAAAAAAAAAAACCAAATTTAACATGTTTATTTTGACAAAAAAAAAACCCAACTATGTCACGTTAGCTCATTTGTTTATTTTGACAATCGTAGAAAAATTAAATATTTTTTTGACAAATTTAAAAAATTTAATATTTATTTGATAAAATAAAAAATTTAGTATTTTTTTATCAATAAAAAAGTTCAGTGTTTTTTTAAATTTTTTTAAAAAGTTTCATTTTCTATTGAAAATTACTTTTCATAGGTGTATATATATATATAATGTTTTAATGTAAGGCTGTTTCAAAAATATTTTGTGAATAAAAAATCGATATTCTCGATATTCTAAGTAAATTTTATTGCAAGTTTCATTTTTTAATAATTGTATTTATTTGTGGAAACAATGTGCTTATCATGCAATTTGATAGAGTTTTCTTTGAAAAAAAAATACTAATTAAGAGAAGCCGGCCAGGCAACTTAGTTAGAAGGTCAACGAGGAGTGGCAATCTCGTAGTATCCAACAAAAAGACTGCCCTTTTATGTCCATCATCATTAAATGACTGTGCAAACTCCAAAGAACTATTCAACTCTCCATTCCTTTAGTTTAAATTTCATTATTTATTTTTGTACCAACTTTTAGTACTGCGTTTTAAATTTTCATTAAATTTTATTTTTATTTTAAAACAAAAAAATTATTCTTATTCATTTTCCAATGATTTTATATTTATATGAAATATAACTATATCTAATTAGATTTATAATGTAGAGTTACATATTATTCAATTCAATTAATTATACATATATACATATACACGAAACGAAACGAAATATTTATCTAATTGTGACAAATAAATCAACATCGCTAATTTATGAATTGATATCAAATGAGGATGCTATAAGAGAAATGTTTTTCTTGTATTCTCATTAATAATAATACATGAATATATAGGCATATATAATCAACGATTAAGTAATGAATAATCAATATTCTAGACAACAATAAAGTATAAAATTAGAGATGTGATTTGAGAATAATATCGCTGAAGATATTATATCATATCCTTCCATTAGATGCAAATATCTTAAATACAAAACATAAAACAAAACCGAAATAATTAACAGATCTATTTCCAACCAAATTAAACTAAAAATATCTAAACTAAAGCGAAATTAAACCTGCTACATAAGCTAATATTATAAATCTACAATTGGTGTTGTGAGTGAAAATATTTTAACACGAAATGAACCGCAAAATGGTGATTAGTGGAATTTCAAATGCTGATAATTGCAATTAAAGAAAAACAATAAATAAACTTTATTTCTCTGACTCGCCGCCTTCAAAGAAAATTAAAGAAAACAAAGTTTTTTTAATTATCTTTTTATTATATATATATAATAATTTTCTCGGTAAAACCGAAGAATCTTCAATGAAGAAGAGCATGGCGTGTCCGCTCAAATACATGGAACCAAATTCCAAGGTTACCCTTTTTCCTTTTCGTCTTTATTTTCTTCTCGAGTAACATATCATGGCCCTGGTGTGTGCGAGGGCTGTTGTTTGGTTGCCGAGAAACAGCTAGAAAATCTGATACAAACCCGGCACAGTTACGAGGTAGAGAAAAGAAAGAGAGAATTTTGTTGAGAACCCATTGCGAAGAGATTCCATCTTCTTCTTTTTTTTAATTTAATAGTATACTCCAAGAGAAGATTTTCATCTTTCTTGCTTCTTGGCGTTTCTTGTTTTGTCGGCGGAGTTCATTGGCAACAGAACAGAACCCAGAAGCCGATCAAATCCCAGAATTCCCATGTCTTTTTCTCTCTGTCTGATCACTTTGCTACTTCAGAAATAGTAAGTTATGTTTCTTATAAATCTCTCTCTCTCTCTCTCTCTCTCTCTCTCTCTCTCTCTCTCTCTCTCTCTCTCTCTCTCTCTCTCTTTTTTTTTTTCGCGCGCA